GGAGGAGGCGGAGGAGGAGGAGGAGGAGCACAGAGACGGCCCTTGGCAGGACGCATCCTGTGCGACGGCACGTGGACTGCGCACGCTGCCCAGCGTGCAAGAGGCTCGCCCTTCCTCGGCGGCGAGCCCGGGGGCGGGGGGAAGTGAGAAGGGGCGTGCCCTGCTCGGAAGGCTCAGAAGCCCCCCTGGCCTCCCGAGACGCGTTCGAAACCGTCCCCGAAGACACGGACAAAAACCTCTCAGAAGTTCTCGAGGCCTTCTGAGAAGCCCTGGCGCCTTCTGAGAAGGCCTTCTCCTTCTCTCTTCCCCCCCTCGCTCGCCGCCGACTTTCGCGGCTGGCACAGGCAGGCGAGGACGTGCCGCGCGATGCCGCCTTGGCTTGCTTCTCTGTTCCGCCCCCCCCTCGACAGCATAGGAGAGCTGGACGAGAGGCCGACCGCCCACGCGCCCAGAAGAGAGGCGGGCTGGGCGGTGCTGCGCGGCCATGACTAGAGCAATGAGCGACGACGACCTCGGCGACCCGCTTCCTCGTCCTTCTCCGCCCCTCCCACCTCGTCGTCGTCGTCCTCCTCCTCCTCCTCCTCCTCCTCCTCCTGCTCCATCCTGCTCCTCCTCCTCTTCCTCTTCCTCCTCCTCCTCCTTCTCCTCTCCCCCTCCTCCTCCTTCCCCCTCCCCCTCCCCTCACCCCCTCCTCCTCCCTCCTCCTCCTCCTCCTCCTCCTCCTCCTCCCCACTCCTCCTCCTCCTCCTCCTCCCCCTCCTCTCCTCCTCCTCCTCCTCCTCCTCCTCCTCTCTCCTCCTCCTCCTCCTCCTCCTCCTCCTCCTCCTCCTCCTCCCCCACCCCCTACCTCGCTCGTACTTCATCAGGGGGGTGGTGCTGGGGGGGCGACCTGCAATAGGGGGGTGAAGAGAAGGGCCCTGAGAGAGGGCCCTTCAGGGCCCCTGCCGGGCGCCTGCTGGCTCCCCAAGGGGCCCCACAGGGCCCCTTCGGGGCCCTTGTTTTGACCCCCCATTTCTACATCGGGCCTATCGCTCTACAGGGGGCATATTCAAAAAATAGTGAAGAAATCGTCTGGGGACCATTTTTTTGTTTTTAACTATTTTGAGCATGTTTTAAATATGTGTGGCGTATGTTTTATTTTTCGTCCAGAATCCCCCTGTAGGGGGACAGCCCCGACTTAACCCCATTTCAGGTCACCTCCTCGTTACCACCCGCCCGGGCACTAGGAACATGTCAAGCCTCTGGGTCGTCACAACATATGCTCTCGCGTCGCCCATCAGGAGCGTACCCACGATCACCATCACCAAACCAATCGCGATCATCGTCTCACCACCGTATCTCATCATATCGCATCACAACACATCACATTATCAAATACCTTGCCGCACCATGCAAGATGCTCCCACCACATCATGACCTGCCGCAGCAGCAACATCATCATCATCAACATCATCAGCACCAGCATCAACAACATCAGCATCATCATCAACAACATCATCACCAACACCATCATCATCGGCGTCACCACCATCATCACCATCATCCTACTCATCATCGTCGTCGTCGACGCCGTCATCGTCGTCGTCATCATCGCCAGCGGCATCACCATCAAAACCACCACCTCCACCACCACCACCACCCATATCAGCATCACCAACATCGCCAACACCATGCCTGAATGCTTTCTTCAGCACAACTTCAGGTACCGCATTAGTCGCGTTCCGTCTCCACGTCGTCCCCTGCCATCCTAGATCCCAGTGCTGACCTGTACTACCAGGAGGAACAAAAGAAAGGACGCGCGATTCCTGGTGCACGGGGACGTGCTGCACGATGGGCGCGAAGCACAGCGCTATCTTGCGCCCGATCCCGGGAGGCCCCAGGCCCGCGTCCTCTGGCAGCATCAGGGCGACTGACGCGAAGGGAGGCAGGGGGAGGACGACCACGACGAGGGAGAAAGGGAGGAGGAGGGGAACGAGGATGAGGATGTTGAGGGTGGTGATGAGGTTGAGGACATCAGAATATAGGAGCTCCAGGAACCAAGTCAAGCACAGCAGCTGGGGCCAGTCGCCTCAGCCCTAGCGGATGTAACAAAGCACACGCCCTGGTGCACCCCAAGCGTACTGAGGACGAGGTTCATGGCGAGATGCTGCAACTATGCGTCCATAATCCGTCTGGGAGACAATGCCGGCATCTGGACAAGTCCAGAGAAGCTGACGAGCTTCACAAAAGACCGTCTAGGTACACCTAAGAGGGGCATCATCGATTTTGCAATGGAGAGGACTGAGAGAAGTGGGAAGAACACTCGGTAGTCCCTGTCCTGCGGCTTTTGCTGGCATCGAAGCATGAATGATGCCATTGCTTCAACTCCGTGAGCGAATCCTGGGCGGAAAGCCTGGCCAGCCCTTCCGACGCGCCTAGCGGTAAGACGAGGACGGGTTAGTACAAAAAATGAATGAAAGCGGAGGAGGTTGAGGCGACAAGACAGGGGGGCGGATGATGAGGAGGAGGAGGAAGAAGCCGGAAAGGAGAAGGAACAGGACGAGGAGCTAGAGGCGGACGGGCGGGAAGAGGCGGAGGGGCAAGGGGGGAAGGAGAAGGCCGAGCGAGACCTTCTTGAATGTAAGCTTTCCATCACCAGGTGTCGTATTCGTTATTCCCAGGCTTTTAAGTGACATGCCCCTGGGTGAGCTCATGATTCAACACTACCTTTCAGACTGACCTTGTGGCTCACCCTTGCAGTACCCTCCAGTACCCGTCAGGAAGGAGGCCGAATGAAATGCGATAGCGCTTGGGAGCGAGTCCGAAAACAGGCGGCCACCTTGAATCGGCTGCGACTGCTCCTACAGGGTGATCTTTAGCGACACGCCCAGACCAGCTTCGAGCCGAGGCCTGCCTGGATCACCCCGCCCAGACCACAGGCTGCGGAAGAGGAGGCGAATGGGAAGGCGGACCAGACGGAGGAGGCGGCGGGGGAAGCGGAGGGGCGCCTGCAGGAAGGTGTTCACTCGGCAGCGGAGCCAGCTGCCAGATGGTGGGCTCCAGTGGCCGACGGGCCGGCACGTCTCTTCACCGTGGTCACTGGCTTGCCCTGAGTCCGAGGGGGGGGAATGCCAGGCCGAGCTCGAGCACATCGAAAGAGTGATCTCGTTGTTCGGCAGCCCCTTCGATCAGCTACTGCAGGAACATGGAGGCAGCCACTGGAAAGAGGCGGGGGCGGCGGAGGAGGAAGGGGCAGAGGAGGCGGACGGAGGGGGAGGACGATAAGCAACAAACGTACCCCTAATCCTCTGGGAGGGGACCTGAGTTGGGAGAACGAGGCGAGGAGGATGAGACGGACGCCGACGCCGACGCCGACGCCGACGCCGCCGCCGCCGCCGATGACGACGACGACGACGACGACGACGACGACGACGACGACGACGACGACGACGTCCTCCTCGTCCTCCTCCTCGGCCTCCTCCTAGCCTTCCTCCTCCTCCTCCTCCTCCTCCTCCTCCTCCTCCTCCTCCTCCTCCTCCTCCTCCTCCTGGGCACTGCCGGGGCCGGGCGGACGGCGGGGGGCGTCCTCGAAGGAGTCCAGGGAGCGCGCCACGCACGAGTGCCACCCGTCGGCGAGGACGCTGTGCGGGTGGATGGACCTCTCTCTGGCCGCCGGGGGCCCGGCACCCTCGCAGGACGCCGCGGCCCCGGGGCCAGTGTGGGGGGCGGGGAGCGGGGCCCGGGCGAGAGACGGCGGGATGGTGAGGGGAGGTGGGGGGGGGGGTAGGGGAGAGGGAAGTAGGGGGGGGGAGAGGGGGGGGGAGAGGGGGGGAAGGGGGGGGGGGGGGGGAAAGGGGGGGGGGTCTGCGGGGGAGGGGGATGCGGAGGGGGGATGGAGGAGGGACGAGAGAGAAGGGGGGGGGGGATGGGGGCAGACAGACGGGAGGGGGACCGAACTGACTTGCGTCCGAAACCAGTTTGGCAAATCAATTCGCTGCGAATCGAGGGGGGCACACAAGGGGGCGGACATATATAACCTATCAACATTCGCGGGGCCAGGAGGGACTCTGGGGGAGCATGTCCTATCGAAGGAGTTCATGAAGGGGGCGAGGCGGAGACTGCACGCAGTGAAACTCCGTGGTTTGTCGCACATGCCGACGGGGGGGCCTGTCGAGCGCCAGCCTGGGGAGACCAAAAGTTACCGATACCGCTTCTCCCCAGACTTCTCCTGGGGTGCGTTCTGACAAGATTTTCGAAGCAAATTCAACGGTGGCGACGAGGGCCTCTGAGGAGGCCCAAAAAGAGGAAGACGGCGAAGGGTGGCGTTAGGTCGGGCATGCCCCCCTACAGGCGGGTTCTGGAAGACAAATTAAACATAGTCCGACATTTCTAAAACATTACACCGGAAAAAATAACGAACACTCGTCCCTGTATTACTTTCTGACTATTTTTGAATTTTCCCCCTGTAGAAGGACATGACCGACTTAAGGGTAGCGGTCCAGGTGCCTTTTCTGACTACCTACCAGACCACCCCAACCCAACCCGAAGACCCGAATTTCGGGTTGGGGGGGGTATGGGCTCCATATGTGTTTTTTCGATGTTCCCGGACCCCCCCCACTAGAAATCGAGGGTAAATCTGAGCCTTCGGGTTGGGTTGGGGGGGTTTGGTGGGTGGTGCCTTTCCCTCCTCTGACAGTCGGGCGACGCCGAGCCCCGACGACGGGGCGCAGAGCGCGGCGCGGTGGCGCGGCGCTTGCCTGTGCGCGCGGGCAGCGCCGCCTCCGGCTGCCGCACCCAGGCGAGGCCGTGCCCCGGGGGGGGGGCGCGAGCACCGCGGCGGCCCTTCGGAGGCGGCGGCCTGCGCGCGACCCCGCGGGGCACCCGCCCCACGAGAGAGATCGCTGCAACTCCGCGTCGCGCGCCCGTGCGCCGACTCTCCGCGCGGCGCCCGCCCCTGGCGCGCTGGCCGCCGCGCGCGCGACGCGGGGGAGGAGGGGGCCTCCGCATTCCCCCCGAGAGCCGTCAGGACAACAAGCTGACACCCCGTGGCCCCTGGGGCCGCGCCTCCGCAGGCTTGCCTCATCGCTGGGACGCCCAGTCCCCGTGCATTTCTCGGCGTCGCGCGCTTATTTCTCGCAAGATGATCTTTGATGCTCCTCGGTGGTCCACGCAGAGCAAGAGTGCACACGTCTAAGCGATGCCAAGCAAGGCGTGGCCACGCCCAACGCCGGTGGGCCGCGCGCGAGCGACCGGCGGCCACGCCCAATGCCGACGGCCCCCGCGGGCGACGACGCTTCCCGCGCGGCGCGCCTCCCTGCCGCCCTCTGCGGCGCGGCGGCGCGCGTGTCTCGGAGCGCCCGGCGGCGGGCGCTGGAGCCCGCCCCCGCCGACTCTGCGCGCGGTGGGCTCCGAGGCGCGCCCGCCGCGCCAGCAGATCCGCTGGCGCCCGGGTGCGCCCGCCGCGGCTGGCGGGGCGCGCGGGCGAGCGAGAGGCGCGTCGGCGGCACCCTCGCTTCCGCGGAAGGCGGCCGCAGCATCGAGGGCTGCAGCCGAATCGACGCGGTCGAAGGGTAGAGGGGTAGGCACTCGCCGGGGAGCGATCTTGCGCCAAGCCACGCCCGCGCCTTCGGCCGTGCGCGCCGCACGCACCAGAGTCGAGCCCGCCGGAGGGCAGGCAGCAGCGAACAAAAGACGCGGCGGCCTGTCCTGATCTCATTCCGGGAAGGGTACGGTCGGGAACTCCTGCTTAGCCTGTCACGGCGGCGGCCCTTGCGACAAACTGTGCCTTGCAAGCGTATGGCGTGGCGGGGCGGGAGGCTGGGATAGGCTCGGGGGGGGACTGGGACGCAGAGAGCGTGTCGCTCCGTGGGCCAGAAGTGGCGGAGCGGCACGCCAGGCCCGAAGCTCCTGACCGTGACGGCCCGAGCCGAGCACGCGCACAGCGCACGCCGCGGCGCACATTGAGCCTCAACAACCTCCGACTCGCCACGGAACCTTCCCGCCGCAGAGTCTTCCGCCGAGCCAGCTTGGGGCAGGCGCGCCCAACGTCGAGCGCCATGGCGCGGGACGCTTCAGCGTCGAAGCGGCTGCCAGGGACAATCGAAGGCACGGCCTCTGAAGTTCAGGCGGAGAAGGAAATTGCACCTCAGCACGACGGTTGAGTCGCGCCGCGCCAGCTTGCCGGCTCCGCACGGCGCAGCGCCCCCGCTGCATGACATCTCAGCTTGCGCCCAGGGCGTTCGCGCCTCCGCGCGATGCCAAGCGAAAGCCTCCGCGCGAGAGTATGGCGCGAAAGCAAGCCAGCGCTGCGAACGTTGAGGGGACAGGCACGTTGAAAACTGGCCAGATGATTGCTGCAGGAGTCGGCGCTGTTGTTGCAGTCCGCCCGAGCGAGGAGGAAGCCCATCCTGGAAGGCAGCTGGCACGCCGCGTCGCCGCATAATGTTCTGCATGGTGGTGTTCCGACGGTTGTCTCGATGGTCGTCCCGATGGTTGTCCCGATGGATGTCCTGGTGGATGTCCCGATGGTTGTCCCGATGGTTGCCCCATGTTCGCCTCGATGGAAGTTCGGATCGGTGTCCGGATGGTTGTCCCGACGGGAATTCCGATGGCTGCCCCCATTGGTTGACACGATGGCTGTCCCCATGGTTGTTCCCATGGTTGTCCCGATGATTGTCCGGAAGGTTGTCCCAATGATTGTCCCGATAGTTGTCCCCATGGTTGTCCTCATGGTTGTCCCGTGGGGCATTCCGATCGTTGACGCGATCATTGTCCCGATCGTAAACTCGATGGTAGTCCCCATGGTTGTCCCGATGGTTGTCCCGATTGTTGCCCCGATGATTGTCCCCATGGTTGTCCGGATGGATGCCAAGATGGTTGTCCCGACGGGGGTTTCGACCGTTGCCCTCATGGTTGGCCCCATGGCTGCCCCCATAAATGTCCTGCCGGTTGTCCCGACGGGTGTCTCGATGGTTGTCCCGATGGTTCTGCCAAGCCGTAATTCCCAAAAATGTGCTCTGCGAGGCTTCTATAACGGAAACGTGCGCCCTGCGAAACCATAATGCCTCCACCCCCGCCGCCCCAGGACCATACGAACAACAGGATGCGCCCTGCGAGGCGGTAATAGCAGAAAGTTGTTCTGCGATGACCACTACACAAAGATGTACCCAGCGGGGCAACAGCATACACCCTGCGAAATGCTTAAGAAATCATGGGTTAAGAAATTCATAGTCTCAGAACTTGAGTAAAAACCAAAAAAATCCACTCAAATCTTAGGATTTACATTGAAACATTAAGAATAATCAAGACTCTGGCCAAAAAAATAGGTTTTCTTAAGCATCGCCTAAGGTGTACGAAAGACTGCGCCACGCGGTGGAAGAAAACACCACATGCCATACGAAGCAGACCATTTAAAAAGCGTGCGCCGTGTGGGCCAGCAAGCGACAGATACACAATGGAACCACACGCAACAGCGAGAAGCAACGCACCACAAATGACACCCCAATATCGGGGAGACGTAAGACCCGGGTACGGGGGACTCGGAAATCCCCGACGAGGTCGTCAAAAAAATGACGAGGCCGAGCCTGCATTTTGACGAGGCCTCCCGCTGCAGACATCCCACAAAACTCCTCCTCGTCAAAATCCGAGTCGCGGTCGTCAAAAAACGATGGCGAACCCGAGTCCTGGCAAACCCGGGTCTTACGCTCCCCCGACAATAACACAGCCATAGAACGGCCACTAACACATGTGCAAATACAATGAAGCCAATAGCCATGTAGTCAGGCAATGAAGCCGAAGGTACCCTAGACAGATAATAGATAAACGTACAGGCGATCCAGCGGATGCACACATGCACGTTGGTGGTCCGATGTGTGTTCACTCATTAATTGAATTGAATGCAACGCACATAGAAAAAGCACACTGCCAATATCCAAACAGCTCCTTGACACCCGAGGGGTGGTCTCACCAGTATGAATATGCCAACACGCTTATATTTATATATCGAATGTGTAGATCTCTCTCTCTCTCCCTCCCTCTCTCCCTTTCTCCCCCTATCGTTATTTATATGTTCTCTCTCACTCACTCTCTCTCTCTTTCTCTCTGTCTCCCTGTCAAACACTCATGCCCCCTCCTCCTCACACTGCCCCCCCCACCATCCTGATCGTCTTGCGTGTCCCACTCCGCCTCATCCAACTTACCTCTCCCGTGCTCTCAATCCCCACTTCTCCTCTTCAAGGACCATGCCAGCTACCATTCCTGGCTGCCCGAGTGACCACAAATACCGCTTGTCATCGCAGATGAGGTGCCTGGAGGAGGAAAGAAGGAAAGAAGTAAAGACGGAGGGAGGGAAAGGGAGGAGGGATGACAGAACGGTGCAAGATATATCACCTGGGAACTGCGATGACCAAGCGCGTGCCCGTTCACAAGAAAGAAGGCTGCCAGCACGGACTCGGGACTCCTGAGATCACGCATCCCGAATATCAATGTGGGTTGCATTACATGGCCACGCGAATTGTATCCGCGAAGCGAACACGCGTGGCGGCTCGATTGCACGGACGGCTTACTCTGTACATGAACATAAATACATACATGTGTGTCCTCATGCTCTCCCTGATCACCCAGGAAGATCAAGTAACTCTGGCCCAATCAGCGATTAAGC